AATTGATCTTCACAGGAATAGAAAGCCAGCCCTAGGCCTTAGCCATCTTCTATCTCACAGAAAGGAATTGCAGGAGGAGATGAGCAATGAAATCAAACAGATTTTATTTGGAGCCTTTAAGGAAGAAGGAGGTAGAGATAAGTGGGAGTAATACGTTCAAGAGAGAACTGAGGCTTCTCCAAAGGCAGAGAGAGCCCCAGTCCACATCTCAAGAGAGGAGATTCAGGCAGCATGTGCTCACCCACATGGGCACAAGTAGTCCATGGGCTGTGGCAGCATATGTGCGCGCTTCCTTTGTTCAAGATAGCTTTTATAGGATTTCTCCAACCTGTCCCCAAATGGGGCTTTCTAGCTAGGTGAGAGCCCAGTGCTTGGGTTGCCAAGGAGGTAGAATTAAGAGTGGTCGATGGTCCTCTTTGAAATTCCTTTCCTTGGCCTTTGTTCCTGCTGGAGGTTCTCTTGGAAGGGGTTCCAGGTTTTTCTGGGTCTGTTACTGCTACCTGGTGAGGGTCTTATCAGGCTTTAGTTCCTGTTTCTGCAAAGTGGGTGTTTTGCAGCCTCAGGGCCATTGGTTTTTATTTCTTCCTAGAAATTTCATTGCCATGGAGCATTTCCCTATCTACCTGCCTACAACAACAGTATTGTAACACATTGCATCTCAAGCAATAAAAAACGGTAGCCTGATATTTATGTGGACAGAAACCTTATATCTTTTTGCATTGTATTTTTAATCATAGGCAGTGACTGATTTATACCTAACGGGTTATTTTTAGGGTTGACATTTTCTGCTTCATTTGAATTAATTAACAATGTACCAATTGCAGTAGATGGGGGTGAGTCTCAGATAGAGAGCTGTTGTTTTCAGGTCTTTGTATGACCTCTACAGTAAAGATTTTTCAGCTACTGGTCTATGGACCACTGCTTGTTCTTAGCATAAGAAGGTTGAAAACCACTGGTCTGCTGCAATTTTTATTGACTGCCAGGTCAAGGGTCAGTGCTGAGACCAGTGCCATCCTTTGGTATAAAACAGTTGAGAACCTCTGCTCTCCAGTAGATGGGATGGCTGCCTCTGGTTCCAGTGCTGAGATCACCTGTGACTTTGGCTAAGTTATTCACTAGCCTCCACCTGTGTGTCCTTAAAATGAAACTATAGTAATACAAACAAAAAAGCCCAAACTTTAAAATATTTTTAAATAATTTAAAAGATAAATATAAAATATAAAAAGGGCATGTCAAAATGTAGATGTAAATCAACATAAGCATTATATAGTTCAACCTAAAGATTCAGATGACAGTTTAAAAAGGCATAGGATATTTATTTGGGAATAAAAGAGTTGTAATTTGGGGGACACAGATTCATCTTGAAAGCTGAAGACGTGCTCATTGGAAGGGACAAAGTCCAGGGTTTAGGGATAAGAAAGGAGGAAAATGAAATAAGTGGTATTGTATATGTAGTATGTATTCATATGCATGTACATGTATTTGTGTATATTCATATGCATGCACATATTATATGTATTAACATGTATTTCATATGTATATGGGTTTACAAGTATGTTTCTGTGTAGTCATATGTACTGAGAAGCTTAAGCTTTTCTTGGCCTGCCAAAAATTGGTTGCTGATCCACTAAAAAGGATGAAAAAAAGAACTGATTGATTCTACACTGTGGATAAATGTTTGTGAGCATAGTTCTCAGACAATTTGTTGGCGCCTTAAAACTATTGCTTTCATCCCAGTTCAGAGACCTGTGATGTAGCTCAAAGAGGACAGGGAATGCAATTTCTTTGTAGTGGCTCAATGGCATCATTTCAAAAATAGTTTAAACTTGACTTTTCACACACATAAGATCTTTCCCCCCTCCGCCTCCCCCCCCCACCACACACAGGGTACTGAGAACTGCTAGAGGAAGATGAACTGTGAGACAACCAAGAGAATGACGAGCAAGCAATCATTGAATCAATTGTTATAAACAAAGCATACAGACAGGAAGACTGTTGCAGTATTTACCAGAATACTTTCTGTTCTCTGAGGATGGATGGTGCCTTGGATGGTGACATCTAATACTCAGAATACAGTCCTGTGGGTTTTCTCACTGGAACAATGCAGCCATTGTCAGATTCAATTATAATCACCTTCTCATAATCAAGAAAATGTATGTAAATATCTGGAGTATAAGATTAGCCTAGAGAAAATAGCTCTAGCTATTTTGTGTGTGTGTGTGTGTGTGTGTGTGTGTTTAATGTAGCATTTTTAAAGTTAGAACACAGATTGAACATTTTTGCAGAAATTCTTAAGACACTAACTCAATCTCTGTTTTTTTGTATTGAAAAACTTTAATTATTAAACCTACCCTAAACAAGCCCAGCTTCTTCCCAACCAAATAATCAGAGTGGAAAACTGGAAATCAGAAAATAAATTTACAAAGATATAAGTTCATTAAGAGACTGCTGAGGGTTGGAGAGATAGTACAGTGGTCAGGGTGCTTGTCTTGTGCACACCTAATACATAGTATTCAATACTATTGAATACATAGTATTCAATAGTATTCAATACATAGTATCCCATATGGTCCCTGGAGCCCACCAGGATTGATTCCTGGGCACAGTCAGGAGTAACCCCTGAGCATAGCTAGGTATGACCCCAAAATAACAACAAAAAAACCCCCAAACAACAAAAGACACTGATGATTTGAAAATCCACCACAAATCCTAACTATTGAACTAGAGCCATTTTTACCATGTTTGTATCTTGTCTGAAGTCCTTTTACAAAAAGTCATGAAAAACAAATCCCAGTGGTACAGAAAATGGTTCATATTTTATAAGCACTTCTCAAGTAGATCTCTGTAGAAACTTCTCTGCTTTATCAAAGATGAGCAGAGGTAAAATAAATTGTTAATCAGCCAAATATTATGTAAATGGATATTAAGAACAATACAAACACCCAATCCTAGTATTTGGGAATAATGTTAATGAAAGTTCAAGATTACATGACCCAATATGGCATAATTATGTCTTAGAAATGTGTTGTGAAAAACACATTACTGAGACAAAGAATGCGAGGTGTGTCATCCAAATTTGGAGTAAGATAATAGAAATTGCTTGAAAACTACCGAGAATCGAATGCATTAGGGAACCCCAGTCCATATTTTTTGTTATTCTTTCAAGAGTGCCATTGATTACAAGCTCGTTGAGAACATTCTTTCAACAGTGCCATTGATTACAATGTTCATTGAGAACATTCTATGAATTTTCAATCTATTTATAACCTATCATGAATCATATATGTTGTCTCTAATGTGGCATGACTGATGTTATGTTTAAACATGGGAGAAAAAAATATAAAACAGGCCACATACTTTATGTATATATATATATATATATATATATATATATATATATTAGTTTACTATCAAAGAGACAGTCTGGATTCTAGCAGAGCTCACTGTTTTGGTCCAGTGCTCCATGCAGAAGTACTACAAAACAGCAGAACCTAGCAATCCTCATACCCATGTCATGTCAAGTGAAGAAATACCTATTTCAAGCTTTGACAAACAGCTTTCAGAAAGTTCTAGTAGCGGAATTAAAAAATAAGTCAACCTATATACCAAAGCTCTAAACCTATAACCTTTACCCGTGGTGGTGGAGGATGGGCACTGGTGGAGGGATGGGTACTTGATCATTGTATAACTGAAACCCAAGCACAAAAATTTATAAGTTTATAACTGTACCTCATGGTGTTTCACTAATAAAAAAAAATTTAAAAAAAATAAACCTATAACCTTTGCATGTTTCATTTCTCAACCTTTTTCTTGCTAAATAAAATAACCCAATATTTCCCAACTGCAGGTGATTTTTTATTGCCCAAGAAATATTTGACAATATCCAAAGACGTTTTTGGTGGGAACTGAGGGCAGTGCCATCTAGTGGAAAGAAACCAGGGATTTGGTCAGTGTCCAACGGCACACAGAAGGGACTCCACAACAAATGATCTAGTCTAAAATGTCAGCAATTATAGACCGAACATGATGGCTACTTAATACCTGTATTGCAAACCACAACACCCTAAAGGAGAAAGAGATTAAAAGGAAATGCGCCTGCCACAGAGGTGGCGGGGATGGGGGGAGGGGGAGGGGAAAGATACTGTAGGAATATTGGTGGTGGTGAAGAATGGGCACTGGTGAAGGAATGGGTACTTGATCATTGTATGACTGAAATGTAAACATGAAAGTTTATAAGTCTGTAACTGTACCTCACTGACTGTACCTCATTAAAAGAAGAAAAAGAAAAAGAAAAAAATTAAAATAAAATAAAATACAATGTCAGCAATGTATGTTCAGTTTCATATCATCTGACTTGAGCCTCTTCTCCAGTTGAACTGACACTATGGTAAAACTAGTAAACTCACTCTTTCCTTCACTGGGTAAGTGGTTTAAAATAATGATGAGAAAACATATGGGGACTAGCGGACGTTTGAGTGGAACTTTTCCTTGAAAGGGTGTTTTAAAACGTTTCACAAAATGATTGCACTTGTCCCTATGAGAATAAAATTTAGCTTTGGGGATGAATGCCTCTTTTTGTCAAAGGTCAGCAAGTTATTGTTCATCTATTTGAAAATAAATACATGCTTTGTACTAAGGCATGCATTTAACAATTTCATAAACTGCTAGAACCATTATCAATTTCACATTGAAGTGTTTCCTTGAAAACAAAGCATAAGAAGATTTGATTTTAACAGTTGATAACTATGCCCTTCTTTTTAGCAAAATAACTATGTCATTGATTTTAAGAATTCTGGAAATATTAGGATTTCTCTAACCACAAGCAAATGGTTTAATCTTACCAAAATCTTTGGTCAGAGAAGGTATTAAGCATCTTGTAACTGGGGAATTTGAAAGGTTATTAAGTTCTAAATAACAAGAGTCCCTTGAGTTTTCCCACCAAACTTTTCCCAGCAGTGAATATATCTGGATCTTACTCTGGTTTTTCATTCTTTTTTTAGCTTCCTGCAATGACTCATGTTCAAACACAGCGACCCTGGTTGATGTTTCTCCTGCAGAACTTTGGATTGTTTGTAGGTTGGCTTTCTCTCTTACTCTTGGCTATATATGAACAAAATATTGCAATATGAACTTCAAAACCCTTAAAAATAAATGTATGTAGCCTCATTTTGTTTCTTTCACTACATTCTATGGAGATTTGCACATTTGGTTTTTATATTGGGCAAGAGATGTGTCTTCTATTTCATTAACTTATTAATTTTATAATCCATTTTTTGTTTGTGTAATGTTGTCTTTCATTAAAATCTCCTCAGAAGTCTTCAGCACCATGATGTTCATACCTTGCAGTAAATATTAAATTTTAAATTATTTTTAAACATTAACAGTGTTGCTTCCCTAATAAAGAATGTGTGCAGTGTCTAAAGTACACAGTTGCTGGTTGGGATAAAATCTGCTTCAACTTCTTTGATGTCAATAATATGTATTTTTTTCCCTGAGATCACAAACCACAAGCAAACAAAATTACAAACAAATGTGATGAAGTTTTAATGTGATGGTTTGTATTACCTTCTATTACTGGATGTCAGGTTTGGAATATATTGCTCACCCGACAAACACGGAACATTCACCTGCAAGTATTGCCCACTGGCACATAAATGCTAATAAGTAAGGAAACGTGGGATGCCAAGAGGATACTACATCAGCAATCTTCTCAGTAATCACCGAGTGAAATATTTTCTATGCAAACAGGACTGGAAACAAAAGATGAAGTTCTGATATCTTTAAAATAACAAAGCCTGAGCATGCAGGAGAAGGATGTATAAACATTCAGATATTCAGCATAGGAAACATATTTTATATTCTCCAAGGAAACAGAGAACCCCAAACTTTGTGTCAGTAAGTAACTGCATGCAATAAGCAAGCAAAGTTGCTGACCTAGAAAAATGATTAAAAGAGAAAACAGCTCTGGTTTTAGTCTTTCTTTGCTTGTTTGTTTTTGAAAATCAATGCCTATTATTGGGCCTGATGTATTTCAACAAGGGAAAAAGTCTGTTTTTCTGCCAAAATGACTCTTGGCATTCAAGTACATCCCCCTGTCTTATACTCATCAGTAGAAAGACCTGCTGTGGCCTGTCTTTTCATAAAATCTTTTCCAGTCACCTTTCTTTGATTTCCAAAGTTGTCTTTTTTCTTCAGGACAGCTTGATTGAAGTGGACTTCTTTAGAGAGTGAAATCACTCCCCTACCCTAGGATCAACTCTGAAACCCAGGGGGCTCCTCGGCTCCATCCCAACTATTCCTGCTTCTGTGGGTCTGGGTGAGAACTCCATTTCGAACAATTCACAGATGATACGGTTGTAGGTGCTGCTGGTCCTGGTTCCTCTCTGAGCTAGCTCTCCACTGGCCCTCCCGTTGATCGTCGATTTGCTCAAACGGGCCCAGTAACGTCTCCATTGGAGACTTTGTTGTTACTGTGTTTGGCATATCGAATACTCTCGGTAGCTTGCCGAGCTCTCCACTGAAAAAGCAGAAATCACCAGCTTCTAAAAAGAGCAGATACACAATGCTGCTATCCAAGAACCACATGATTTCTCTACAGTTGGAGCTCCCAGAGTTGAAACCTCTTTCTCTTCACCTGATTGTCTCTGAGCATCAGATGGGCCCTGGCTTGTGTACCACATGAAGAGTCTGCTGTGAGTACTTTTATTCGCTTTTGCCTTTGAGAGGTAAGCAGACCCACTCTGCCAATCTTTTGGTAGAGTTACTTGTACCTGAACAAAAAACATTTTGCTCAACCTACAAGATGTCCCTAATACCCTCTGGTTTGGGGTCCCAAGGCCAAGTTCTGAACATGGTATTAGCCTTAATTTAAATTCTTTTAATTAGAAATACTCAGGTGGCCTTCTCGCCCAGCCAAGACCACGAGTTACCCCCCATGAGTGGCTCTCCAGCACGACCATGACCCCAGAGGCTCACGGATCTAATTTGGAACCCAGAAGCTTTGGGCAGAAATGTGAATGGACTATGCATTAAGCTACGGTGCTGTGCCCCCAGTGGAGGGAAAGGGTGTCTGTCTCTTCCACCTCCTCCCTCACTCCCCCCCGCCCCCCCCCCCCCCCCCCGGCACTGTGGCTGCCATCTCAGAGCCTATTGAACAGCAGGTATGAGCTGGTGGTAACAGGACAACTGCAGCCTCATGGAATAGGGGGCAGAACAAGCATGTCCTTCCCGCCCAACTGAGACCATGAGTTGCCCCCACGAGCATCTCTTCTGGCATGGCCATGGACCCAGAGGCACACAAACCAATCTTGGAACAATGTGGCTTTTGGCGGAAATCCCTCCAGACTTAATTAGTAGCACTGTAGCACTGTCCTCCCATTGTTCATTAATTTTCTCAAGCGGGCACCAGTAATGTCTCCATTGTGAGACTTGTTGTTACTATTTTTGGCAAATCAAATATGTCGAAGGTAGCTTGCCAGGCTTTGCCATGCGGGCGGAATAATCTCAGTAGCTTGCCGGGCTCTCCGAGAGGGGCGGAGGAATTGAACCCAAGTAGACTGCGTGCCAGGCAAACGCCCTGCCTGCTATGCTATCGCTCCAGCCCACTTAATTAGTAAAATATCAGAAACCCAAAATCGAGCAGCCCATGCGACATCATATGCTCTTCATAACCAGCAATAGAAAACAAATTACTTCACGATGTCTTTTCAGCAGGTCTGATTTTGGGGGGGGGGGGGGAATTCCGAATAATAATAGTGCATCTTTGGTTGAAATAATGAATGTAATCAAAGTAGAGAGGGAGTTAAGTGGAAATCATCTGCCTTAGGGTGAGGGGTGGGATGGGGGGGTATATTGGGGTTTTGGTGGTGGAAAATATGCACTGGTGAAGGGATGGCTGTTTGATGATTGTATGACCGAGACTTAAACCTGAAAGCTCTGTAACTGTTCTCACAGTGATTCAATAAATAAATTTTAAAAAATTACATGTAGTGATTAACAGATTTAAAAGTTATACTGTCAATGGTCAAAATGAAAAAAAAATGTATTGTAGGCATAGCACTATAGCACTGCACTTTCCTGCCATTGTTCATTGATTTGCTCCAGCAGGCACCAGTAACATCTCCACTGTGAGACTTGTCACTGTTTTTGGCATATTAACTACCCCCACAGGGAGCTTGCCAGGCTCTGCCCTGCGGGCGAAATACTCTGAGTGGCTTATCAGACTCTCGAAGAGGGCCAGAGGAATCTAACCCGGGTTGCTGCGTGCAAGGCAAATGCCCTACCTGCTGCAATATATCACTCCAGCCCTATACTACTGTATTTATCTTTTTGACTAACCAAATAGGTTTTTTGTTTTGTTTTGCTCTTGGAGGCACACGCAGCAGTGCTCAGAGGTTACTTTTAGCTCTGCACTCAGGAATTACTTCTGGTGTTGTTTAGGAGATGCTGGGGATCGAAACCAGGTCAACTGCATGCAAGGCAATCACCATACTCACTATATTACTGCTCTGATGCCTGATACCATTAGTTTTGATAATTACTGCAGCTACATAACAAAACTATTTAAATTTACATATAAATAACCTCATATATAATTGCAACTATTGTAGGCGTACTTTGAAATAAATTTTCTTGGTTTCTGGCCATAGTTGTACCACCTTTTATTTTTTAAATACATGAAAATTTCCTTTAGAAAATCAAACCTGATAATCTGTAAAAAAGAGAATTAAATGACTAGGGGAAAGGCAGGAGTCACATCACAGTTCATTTTGTATTTTTATTTTAATGAAGTTTAACATATTCTGTGAGATTAATATTTTATGTGAACAAAAATTTCACTGTTAAGTTTTTTTCTGTGATGTTTTGAATTAATAAATTTTGCTCTCTAAAAAAAAAGAAAAGAAATACTCAGGTGGTTGTCTTTGTTCCAAGTTCAAGTTTCTTTATTTTTGGATTTGGGGCCACACTCTGAAATGCTCTGGGAGACTCCTGACTCTGCAACTGAACACTCCCTGGCATTGCCCCCAGACCTCCTATACGCTTTCACATAGTCACTCCCTCAAGTTACCTGTCTGCCTCCAAGTCCAAGTGTAAAGTTCATTTTAAAATGTTGGTGTCATGCTCAGGCCCTTGCATTGATCCCACAGTCTGGTTGCTTGAGAATTTTCAGGGGTGGAGGACACCACTTAGGAAGCCCCCTGCAAAATGCTGTAGCTCCAACTATTCATTCCATAACCTTCATCATTTAGCAGGTCAAATTCAACCATCAGGTGAAGTTGTAGCTAGAACACATAGGAACTTCTGAGATCACTACCAGGGGTAGGCTAGGAATAAAGCCTGAGGTCATCTCCAATAAGTCTTATCCTTACCCCCCCCCACCCCCCCGACTCTCTTCCAATAAGCTCTTCTTGGTTCACCTGAATCAGGTGAAATCTTTGGCTAATCCTTAGCAACCACCCAGGAGCCTGAGATGAACCTCCAATCACCAGCAGTCTTAGAATTGCTAGAAATCCTCTTGTGTTTAAAATTGAGTAGTGCTGATAAAAACTGTCATGACAATGATTTGCTCCTAAATATCCACTGAGTCTAAATTTAGGCTCGCTGAATATCCTCCTGCCTTTAAATTGTGTAAGTTATGTGTTACTCATCAAGTTTTGGGGTAAATGGTATTATCCTTGAAACCCCATTTCTCAGTCATGCTCAAATAGTCTTGGTTGGCCTAAATTTAGGATTATGCTGTATATCTACTTGATGATTGATTTGTTTGTTTTCGCTCACTGGAAAAGAAATGCTCCTGAAGCAAAACCAAAGAGGAAATTGCACAGAATTCTCACTTGATTATTCATCATCCTCTGACAGTCTGTCTTCCAGAAGAGGGGATTGGTACTCCATCTTGGGGAAGCTGAGTGTTGGACTTGGGGTGAGGGTCCAGGGTTGCATCACTGAATGGGACCAGGTGGCATGTAATTGTGCCTAGAAATTATGGCTATCACCCACCTCTCACCACCCAGAATTCAGACTTTGATGGTGAATCTCATCTATCTTGGGAGACTGCACTTGGCCATCTTCCTTCTCTCTTTCATGCCTGAAGGGACGAGTTTGGTACCAAGGCTGCTAATCACTAGTGTGGACTGTGCAGAGCAGTTCAGGAATCTGATGTGATACCCCAGAATTAAAATTCTGAACTGAAATCTTGATTCAAATGCCAGTGCTGCCACTTAACAATAAGAGAGCAGCGTTTCCTCTCATGTCTAACATGACTAAACAGAGACCTTCTCTTACCCCGAATATCACTTGGGATTAC